TTCTCTGATGCCCTGTGCCACTCAGAAAACTGGCATGGAACCAGCAGAGACGGGCTAGCAGGCAAGACTGGGTTCGTACCAGAACTGTCCACCGAGGGAGGGAGCCCTTTCCCCTCCAAGATTCCACCAACAGGCAGTTTGTGTCCTCAAAACTCATCCCCTCAGCTGAGTTCCCCACCCCACCCCTGGGGCTCCCACAGCCTCAAAGGACCCAGGAGCGACACCTGAGCACCAGTGTTTCTCTAGATGCTTTAATCCTTAGAAGAGTCAGATCTGGAGGTCATAGTGCAGTTACCCAAATCTAATCAGTCGACCCTCAGAAGAACTAGGTGTTATTGCTATCTAGATGGGGCAAAACTGTTTCATCCATGAGTGGAGAGCCACTGACAGCAACTACTGGCCCTGGTGAGCAAGCGGGTTTGAAATGCAGGAGAACAGGGTGCCTGAAGCCCACGAAGCATTGCCTGTGGGTGCTGCAGAGTGGTGGTGGGCGTAGGTGCAGGTAGAATGCTCACCCTGGGCATGGATTTACCATGAGGGTCGCTGGCCATGAGGGCCACTTGCCATGAGGACAAGTTCGGGGTGCTGGTTGAGGAGACACAGCAGCAGCTCATGGATATGGCCACTGGGGCTCCGTACTGCACACTCCAGAGTGGCTCTGAACTGCAACTGGATACTGAGGAGACAAGCGCTGGCCACCCCACTCGGAAGTCCTGACTACATCTACCTGTCCTGAGATGGAAAATGCTTTCCAAGGTCTAGCCTATTCCCAAGCCAAACAGTCCTTTCTGCTGCCTAGTTTATGCTCAAGCTGGGAAGTCCTTGCCACAGTCTAGCGCATCCTTGGAAACCTCATCCATTCTTGTGGGAAGTCAAATATCAGATTTAATATTCATAATAAACCAAATGCAATGTCAAGATAGAAGAGAGGCTGTTACAATTTGGAATTCACCCTGCAAACATTTAAGGATTGCCTTAGTGCTGCAGGGTGAATTCCAAATTGTATCAGCCTCTCCTCTATCTTGACATAGTATTTGGTTTATTATTAATATTAAATTTGACTTTGGGCTTCCCACATTTCCCCCTTTTGTTTAAAGCATAATTTTGTGGTCACCAAGGTAAGTATGGTTTCTTTTCTTCAGGATTCATTCTTGCTTGTTTTTTGTTCTCTTCATCCTTTATATATAATCAAACAAATATAACCAATTAAGCAAGAGTGGACCTGAGAGGGCTTGTAGGACTGAATGAGAGGCTTCTGTGTCAGGAGAAGAAAGTCTTACTAATAAATGTAGGTCAATGCCACCCAAAGGTAATAAAGAGTCAGAATTGTTTCCATTGTGGAAAGCTAGGCCACTTTAGTAGAGAGCGTCACAAGAAACACAGCTAGGCAAGGGGAGTAGAGAGGAAGCTCTCACTCACTTGCTTTACGTGTGGATCTGAAGGACACTTGACCAAGGGCTGCTCACATCAGGTCCTCATGGCCAAATCCACAGAGGACTGATGAAGCTCCAGCTCCTAGCTGGCAACAAAGGAGGACACTTCAACAATTCAAGTCCTCCCAGAAGAGCCCTGTGTGAACATTAACTTTGCGGATAAGTCTATCCACTTTCTCCTGGACACAAGAGCATCTTATTCAGTTCTACATGCCTTCTCAGGTCCACTCTCTTCCTGCTATTCCTTAGTTGCTAGAATTGATGGACAACCTCATAAGCAGTTCTTAAGGGCTCCTGTGCTAGACATTCCTAATTATAAGCCTTTTAAGTACTATCTTCCCTCTGTAACTTGGTTTCTGCTACTGTTAGAACCTCTAGTTGGAATATTATTGCTTTTAATTTATGGCCCATGCGTTCATACTGGAGAGGGTTAAACCAGGCTACTCCTTGGAGGCAAGGATTCTGGGGCTTTGTCTGACATACTTTGGATATGTTGTAAGGAGAGACAGGTCCTTGGAGAGGGACATCATGCTTGGTAGGGTGGAGGGACAGCACAGGAGGGGAAGACCCTCTATGATAGGTGGATTGATTCAGTGACTGGGGTAATCGGGATGGGTGTGTCAGAGGCAGTGCGATTGGCACAGGATAGAGCAGGGTTTAAGGCTGTTGTACATAAGGTCGTTATGAGTCGCAAATGACTTGACGGCACATAACAACAACAACAAGTTAAATTTGTGTCTTCTACGCTGGCTGCAACAGTTGCATGTTAAAATGATGCATCTCCAAGAATATGAACCTGTATCCATAAGCACAATTGATAACAGTGCATCTAAATTCCAAAATCAATCACCACAATAGTCTACATGTTTTCTATTGCCAAAGGGGCCCTTTAGAGTAGTGAGAGAAGATCTTCATCCTGGGATCTACAATGCCTTTTCCAGCAGGAAATAGCTAAGAGAATGCATCAGGGTGAAATTTCTCTCAGAGGAAATGACAGGGAATAGCAAAGGACACCCTGACAAAGGAGATCAATCAGAACTGGTTTTGACAAGGACTCTGGCAATATAACAATAGAAACTGACCCTCAAGGAATGCAGCTATTTGTTGTTGTTATGTGGAGTCACTTGCCACTCATAGTGACCCTATGTACAACAGCTCTAAACTCTGTTCTGTTCTGTCAATCTCATTGTCTCTGACACACTCATCCCAATTGCCCCAGTC